TTATTTTATTTCTATAAGGATAGGGCTGAGAGGCATCTACCTCATGATAAATATCTGTAGGAGAGCATCTGGACATATTCAGAGCTGCTAGGAGTTGGCATAGAAAGGATGGTGTAAGGATAAGTTATATTTGCCACAGCAGAAAAAAAAGACCTCAGCAAGGTAGGAACATCAGTATATGAAAGAAATTAGTGATTGGAAAGGAAAGAGGACTACATGAATGTTCTTAGCAACTTATGTATAATAAATAAAATATGTTTTAATAAAAGGTGCTTTATTTGTAATAGCCTCAAACTGTAAATAACATGGTTATCCTTTAAAGGACAAAAGAGAAAACAAACTAATATCCATGGATTACTTGCAATAATTAAAAGAACAAAGTATTGATATATGTAAGAATTAAGGTGAATCTCAAGGGATTAATGCTAAGTGAACAGATCCAAGATTATGTACTGTATAATTCCATTTACATGACATTAAAATGAAGAGATTTATAGAAATGGAGACTAGATTATTAGTTGCCTAAGATAGGGGATAGGAATAGGGGAGATGGCAGGTAGGTGTGTTTTAACAGGGCAGCAGGAGGGATTCTTGTAGTGAGGGAGTATCTCGACTAGTGTGGCAACATGAACATGCACATGTGGTGAAGTGTATAGGAATAAGTGCACTCACACATGTGTACACATAAAATACAAGTACAGGGAAAACTGAGATGTCTGAATGACTTTGGTGGATTACATCAATGTCAGCATCCCAGTTGTGAAATTGTACTTTAGTACTAAATTGTACTTCTATCTAAAGGGGAAACTAGGTGAAGGGTTCACAGGATTTATCTGTCTCTCTTTACTGCATGTAAATCTACAATTATTCCAACAAATATTTCAATATAAAAAAAGGAGGAGGACTTTGTGCCAAGGGAGACCAAGAGTCAATGTGGCCCACTCCCTGAGAGTGGCAAAAAAGACCCAGTAGGTCCTCTCGCCCTGTGAATGTTCTTATCATGGGCACTTGGAAGCAGGAATGGTGGCAGAGGTGGCTCAGTCTGGCTCCCCTCTATATAAGTGGGTACTTTTGTAGCAGGATTCAAAGTGGCAGGAGAGGAGTGCAGGAGGAGATTGCCTGGGGGATTCTGGTCCATCATTCTTCTTTGAAATCCACCAATTTAGAGGAAAAGATGCTTATGGAATTCTGCTTCCAACATCACTAGAACCATATCCTGCATTAAACAGGTGAAGGAAACTCTACAAATAAAATGAAAGTCATATGTAAACAATGGTTTGGACAGCAGCTACCCAGAACAGTTGAGGTTTAACTCTGGCTTGGCTCCTACCTCATAGGATGTATATGGAGACACTTTTTATCTATTAATCTTAATCATTTTAATGGCTAATATTAACTGAGTAGTTGCTATGTGTCAGGCCATTGTGCTGAAGATTTTAAATACATTATCCCATTTGTCTTCACAACAGCCCTACAAAGCCAGAGCTGTTCTTATCTTTGGACACCTGTGGTTTATAAAAGTTAAGAGGTTAAAACATCAACCACATGGCGTGAGAGTGGTAGAGTGGGTTTAACCCTACAACCACTGCACTACTTCTCAGTTCTCAGCCGTAAAAATAAGAGATCGGATCAAGGGGGTTGATCTCTCCATGGCTTGAATGGATGTTAGCCAATTAGCTAACAAGGGATGGTAAAGAAATAATTTAAGAAATGCCAATCTTGGCCCTATAGGAAAGGATATAAACTCCGGCAGGTTGAGGGACAGAGGAAGCCAGAACAGAGAGGGTAATGGAATGATTTGTCACCCTTTGAAGAGAATGTGACTTACTTAGCATTTCCTGGTATATCCTGATTGAATATGAAAAACAAGCCCCTTTTCTCCAGTAGAGGTTACATTCTCTGAAAAGTCCTGTTAGTTGAATGCAAGTTACAGCCTATCTCTTTTGATTCCCTAAAAGCAGGCAGTAGGAAGATAAAATATCTGTATACTGGCTCATTCACACAAAGAGCCCACCTCAAAAAGCAACTATCTCTGTTAAGAAAACAGAGAAAGGAAATCAGGACAGGATGCACTAAAGGCAGAAGTGGGTAGAAGACCAATGCCAAGACCTGAGGTAAGAGGAGAGAGACTACAAACTAGGTCAAACACAAACAATATTGCTGAGTAGTTTTTTTTTACCCTGCACCTCATAGCTCCTTAAAATCCACTTGAGTTTGCAAGCCTTTCCCTGCTCATCGTCTTAGGAGGGAGAATAGCAACATGTTTGAGAGCAAGAGTGCACTCTGGAACCAGATACCCTCAGTTCAAGTCCCAGCTCCTCCTCTTACCAGCTGTGAGACTGAATGTCCAGCCTCTCTGCACCCTGTGCTTGGGACAGTGCCTGGCCATAGGGATCAATCAACCAAAGTTAGCTACGGTGATTATGACTATGAGATGACAGGATATTCTGAGACTCGAAAAGCTTTCTGATATTCCTCCAGCCAGATTTGTTTCTGTCTTAATTGTGTGGCTCTGGGACTTCCTGGAGGCTGAGAATGGGGAAGCTTCTTGTATTATTACTTAAGTTTTCCTTTCTGAGCCTCAGTTTACTTACCTATAAGATGGGTATAATAACATCTACCTCTGTTTGCCTCATGACATCTTGCACATCTCTTAAGATAATGTATATAGAAACACTTTAAGGAAAATAAGCCTCCCTAAGGACTAAATGTGATAATTTACCACTCTGAGACTGTGCTCTCCATTATAAAATGTCAATAGTAATACCTGCCTCCTGGAGTGAGGATTAAGAAGCTGAAGTCATTAGAACACAATACCAGCCCAGAACCTGCTCTTCCAATCCCTTGCTGTCCCCATCTGTGGACATGTTTTCTAGATAAGGAACCCTAACTCTCCAGTTTGAGAGCATGAGAGAGGAGCATGCTCACCAGAGGAGGCAAGACCCTGACCAAGCTTCATTCTGGCCACCCAGCCAGTTTAAACCTGCTAAATTCTGGTTATTTTATCCTGAAGTCAGAGCTACTGTTTGTATCTCATTATCTACCACCATTTTATCCATATCTCCCCTCCTTTGTGAGTTTTGATTTGGAGCATAGAAGGAAGGGATCTGGGATCTTTATCAAAACTTTTGGGGCTCAGTAAGTACATGGTAGAGAGAGCCTTGGAACATTGGGCTTCTCTCAAGGCCCTTTCTTGCTGTCTCTGCACAGAAAATGCAGTTGCTTGTACTTCCAGTCTCCAGAGCATCCACTCTTGTGCAGACAAATCACAAGTACAGTAAAAACAGCCAACATTCGGCCAATCCTTGCTGATGCAGGTGAAGTCAGATGGTTTCTAGCAGCCACAGTACCATGTTCCATTTGTATCAGATTTGTAAACAATTTTCCACATAAGCATTTCCACTTTTATTTTAAGAGCTCTGGGATCAAACTGACCTGGGTTAAAACCACCTAGCTACTCTCAGCACTGTTACCTTGGGTAACATACTTTCTAAGCTCCACTTTCTCACTTATAAAATGGAAAAAGGTAAACACATGTGTTAGGGGGATGTTGCAGAAGTTCTATGCCCCATCTGTGTACTGGCTACTCAATTTAGGCTCTAGTGAAAAATGAAAAATATGGAGTTCCTTGTTCAAAAAGAAGAGAAAAGATTTTTCATTTTATCCATATTTCCCCAGCCTGTCATTGTGTTTTAATTTGGTATTAATGTTATGCACTCAGGCAGGAAGCTACTTTCCTGGTAAGTACAGACCCTTACAGGTGCCTGGACCCTACCTTGAGACTAAGTGCACCAGGGTTTCATTAGTAACCCTGGAAGTACTTAGCATGTGTTTAATTGTCCCATTGGATTTCACTTACAAAATCTAAATCCAAAGATAGAATCATTAAACATTTTAAGATGAGACAATAGACTGAACCCCCTACTATAGGCCTTTCTGAGTGTGGGCTGTGTGTTTGTACTGGTTGCACAGCCACAAAGCTGGCCTTTGAATGTGCCTGCAAAGCATTTAGCACAGTCTCTGGCCCATTCAAATGTTCCATTTGTGAGTCAGAATCTTATATCAAAATCACCTGGGTGCTTAAAAAGGTAGATTGCTGGGCCCAAACTAGAGTCTGATTCAAGGACCTAGGTGAGTCCAAGGAATCTTTCCCTTTATGAATTCTCCCAAAGCTCCTTCTCAGCCTAGTGTCGTGAATCTTTCCTGGGAACACTGACACCTCCCTCTTGCCACCTCCAACAGAAAAACAGAGTAACAAAGAGAAAATTAGATCAGAGAACATGGGGCTTTTAAAATGAGACTTCAGACAGGGAAGACTGGAAGAAATGGTTATAGATGGGAAAACAAAGGGCCAAGGGGCAGAGACTTGCTCAAAATCTGTTGAGAGATTAGAGGCGAAAGCCCAGTCAAGAACAGATCTTGAGCATCACAGCATCTAGGTAGGTATCTGCTCAGCCCCTGCCCTCTGGGGATCATAGGAATCAGTTTTCACAGCCCCCTTTACTTGCCCAATTAATCCTTCCTTCCTCCTCAGAGAGTCTGCCTTTTGGTTTGAACACCACTCTTCAGCTTGAGTTTGGAAGGAAGCATCCACCTCAGTAGGAAGAGTAGATGTGTTTACTCAACACACAGCTAGCTCAGAATCATGACACTAGGCTGAGAAGGAGCACACTTGGTCATCCAGCAGGGCTGCTCTTGCTGGAGTTCAGGGCTGGGATTGGTTTGTGAGGACTGGAGGTGTAGACCTCAGATGGCTGCTTTGAAACAAGGCTTTAAGGGTGTGGGTCCCTGGAGCCTGTGCTCCTGGGCTAGAGGGACCCTCCTCATGGGGAAGTCTATCTCAAGAATGGCAAGGAGAAGTCCTTCTCACTGAGGGGAGTGGATCAAGACTGTGGGCTTTTTGAGATCAAGACTTTGATGAGGGAGATGTAAGATAGGAGAGCAGGAGGGTATATGCAGTGGCAAAGGGTCCTTATTCTCTCTCTTTTTCTTTTCTCTTTCAGGGGAGAGCATGAGCCCCGTGCCCCACTACCACAAATTATGTAATTTCACACATTTAGGGGGAACAGCAGGGGTCAGCACATCCACAGTGTAATGGATAAGCCTTGCTCTGGGAAAGCCCTTTTCAAGATCATTGTATTTCCCCTGCCAGGTGAATATGAAGGGTCCTTATTCTGCATCCCACCCTGGGTCTCTGCCTGGCCCATCTCTGTCTTTTGTCAGAAGATATCTGAGAAGAATTATGAGTCCTGACTTCCTGTGGGTTCTCAGGAAATTCCTCTAACCTCCCCGAGCCTCCATTTTTCATCTCATAGGACTGATGTGCATAGTGTCCATGAACGAGCTCTTCACACTGTAAGGTCCCAGGAAGATGCCAACTCCTGTTATTTGTCTAATTGTTCTCAGGCTGATGTGCACAGAAGCAGGAAATCTCAGCTGAGATAGATTCTGTCCTGCAGTACAAGTTCCTGGGCTCTTGCTTGTGTGGTTTTTCTTCCTTCCGTATCCTGGCAATGTCTTTCAGGGGGCTGTGACTTGGGGTATGGTGGGTGAAAGGGCCAGCTCAGCAGGAAACTCTCCAGAGTCTGGAGAAAATTGGAGAAATCTGGAGAAGGATTTACAGGAAAAATTGTCTGTCAGACTTCCTGGAGCCACAGGCCAGCAGTAAAGGGGTAAGAGGCTATGTCAGCTATGAGCAGAATTGGTCCCTGGAGAAATGAATCTGTGAGTTGTTGATATTCAAATGCATGCCATCTGCACTTGGATCATATGTGGACAGTCCCTTTGTCATTATAGACACTAGGTGTCCCCACATGCATCCCCACAGCCCACAAGAGCTCCAAAGGCTGACCCCAGGCTGCCCAGTGGTTATGATGCCACTGATCGGTGTTGATGAGGGAGCTGGGACGTTTCCCATATCAATAGTTATTCTCTACTTGGGCTGGAGAAGAACCCTGGACTATGGGGAAGGAATCAAAGGTCCTAGTCTCACCATGGCACCAATTTTCTTACATGATTTTAGAGATATCCCTTTCCTTCTCTGGCCCTCAGTTTCTTGTACAATGACCCATTCTGTACAATGGGTCCATAATTCCTTCCCTACATACGTTGGAAAATGGACTAAGGTCCATATGGAATAACAGAAGTGAAAATGCTTTGAGAGAGCTAGAAAAGCTGGAAAATCTCTACATGTGCAAGAGGGAGAAGAGGGAAGTAGGGAGGTAGACATGGAGGAGGCAGACCCTGACCACTTCAGGTCACATTGTCGAGCTAGTCTCTGAACCTGTGTTCTTTCCACTAGGGTTTGGCAAAGTAATGGCGAGATGGAGAAGCAGAAACAGATGGGGAAGCTGAAGAGAGAGCCCTGTGAGGAGCTGCAGCTGGTGGAGCACGTGGTGAGTTCTGGACCCCTGCTGAGTCAGAGCTGCCAGGATATGTGGCTCACTGAGGTCACAGCAGCAGCTGACATGGTATCTCTCTCTCTCTCTGGATTGACTCTGTTGTTCAGGTTGTGCTTCTGTGGCATGTAGACATCCTAGGAAGCAGAGAAGTTTGCTTCTCCCAGAGATCAGAGGACCCAGGAATGATCTTTTTGGATAACTGTGAAGTGACTTTCCGTGCTTTGTGAATGGACCAATTCATCTTACATTGCTATGCAGGTGGATCAAAACCCACCTATAGAAATTACCAAGTAGGGCTGAGAGCCCTCAGAAAGGGGATTGTGGACCTTGTAGGGCAGTGATGACTTAGAGGATGCTGTTCCTATCCCCAGAACTAAGGAGCTACTCCTGATGCTGCTCTAGCCTCACTTTGGTTGGGGAAACAGTCACAGCTCCAGCAAAGGGTTTTTTCTGTGAGTCCTGTGTCTAAGCAGTGTCATTCCCAAATAACATTCTTCTTTCCTCTTGGAAATGCACATGCCAAAGAAGCCTCTCTTTGAAGCTAGTGTAGAAGTAGATTAATCTATGTAGCTGCCTTCTGCTTTGGGCAGCTCTTTGAGATGTTCTAAAGTTGGAAAAGTCAAATTGCTTCCTGCCCCCCCACAGCTCTTTTCTGGTCATGCTTTTCTCCTCTGTCTTCCTCTATGCTTCCTAATACCTGGCCCTCTCCCCTCCATCCTTGACCATGTTCTTTGGAAAGAATATAGTGGTAGCTAATTATATTTCAGAGAGAATTAGGTTAAGTCCACAGATTTCTAGAAATTTGTGTCAGAATCATGACCCAAGTATCTGTTCCCATTGCATGCTTTCCTCACAGTCCCAGGCTGCATTTCTTTCCAGCTGGTGATCCTCAGCACAGCTCCCCCAGGACAGGTCTTCTCTCCTGGTGCTTTGTGCATGATCCACACCCAGCTGGAGGGCGGAGATGAAGAGGTCCCCTGAAGGCACTCAGGGCTCCAGATGCTGTGGGAGGACTTGGCCTAGTCTGAAGCCTCTGATCCTAACCCTATCCCATGTGGATATGGTGTCCTCCTGGCCGGAGGAAAAAGACAGTGAGAGGGACAATAGCAGCAACAGCAGCAGTGAATGTGATAAGAGGCACCAGTGCCCTGGGAACATCCAGAGAAACTCAGTCCTGGAGGGTGAAAGAACTTGACAGAGGTCCTGTCAGGATCAAAGCATAGCTAGGTTGGGCCCCAATGCTGCTAAATCCAAGGATGGAAGTGAACTGAATGGGGAGGGGCAAAGGATGAGTCTGGCTGAAAGCTTGGTGTCACCCTGGGTGGCTGGAAGGAGAGTTCAGTGTCACACAGGGCATCAGAGAAGGGCCAGGTCTCAAACCAGGGTTCCTGGACTCTCAGCACAGTGCTCCTTCCACTGCAATTAGCCTGACTCCCTGACCTGGAGCCTGAAGTCTCTGTCCCCAGAAGGAAGCTTTGGAGCTCTCTAAAGAAACAAAACAGACACTGTGGAATGAGGTTGTGGGAAGGCAGGAAGTAACATGGGCTGCAGGGAGATGGAAAGTTCTCTGGCTGGGAACTGAACCTGGGTCCTGAGAATTCTTCAGGAGAGTGTCAGAGACATTGAGGAAACTGAATTCTGGAGATATTCAGAGTGTGAAGACACAGAGTGGGAGGCCAGAGCCTGGGACTTACAACCTCTTTGGGGGCTTCCTACTTGCCCTGGTCACACAAGCTCTGCCAGTTCCCTTCTATGTCATCTTTGTGGCAAGGCCTGACTTTTCTTCTTGTCACACCGAACCAGGAAGTTATCACTAAGAAAGAGCAGAAGAAAGACATTAGTTCTGTATAGGCCCCAGTGGACAGGGTTGCCCGAGCCCTGGAGGGATTGGAGAAAGGGCATTAGGGGAGAGGGAATGAGGGAGGAATGGTTACACAGTAAAACCATCCACATACACCATTCGAGCCTTTTGTGTTCGTCTTTGTTTTGTGGTTTCATTTAGATCATTTTTGATGACACATGTCCCAGCCTAATATTTATTGAGCACTTCCTGTCTGACAGTCACAATACTCGGAGCTTTACTACCAATTATTTAACACAAGCCTCAAAACAATCAATAGGTCTGTAGTATCATCATTCTGAATTATAGGTTTAGAGAACATAAGACAAAGTCACACAGTTATGGGTAGGGGAGAGCCCCAAACATGGCCGTTTGGCTGTGTTCACTGCCCACATTCCCACCAGGTTCTGCTAAGGGTCTGGTGTGTCAGGCTCAGGGCCCTCTGCTATAGCAGGTAATTCTCAGCCCTCATGAAAATCATGGTGGTGGTGTATCTGAAGATTTGGGGTATCTGAAGCTGGTTATAGAAATCCAAGCATTCTGACTGGTTAACTTGACTCCTCTGACTCCCTTCCCTCTGCCCCATCAACCCAACATAAACGAGCTCTAACTGGGTCAGAATCCTCCAGCATAAACAGAATGGAGTGTAGGGTAGAAAGACACTGGCTGGCCCCAGGGATGGGAGATGGGGTCTGGTTCCCAGCCTTGTCCTGAGCAGATGGGAGACCTGGAGCGCATTTCTTACTGCCTTTGGGGTTTTAGTTTCTGCACCTATAACCCTGGAAATAAAAACTAGAAATAAAACTCTTCAGGATTCCAGGGCCTTTGGCTCCACCTTCTGGACATTCTGGATCACTGCAGCTTTTTGCAGTGTTGCCTTCCACTGTGACCATCAGAGAATTTGGAAGGGTCTAGGAAATTTCTGGCCAATGTGTGGGGTTGGAGATGGGATGGAGGAGAACCAGAGTTGTCCTGAAAGCCCAAGCAATCGCTGTGGTTTCTGGGTTGCATTGATGTTTACTATCTGTCCCTCTGCTGCTAGTGGCTGAGTAGAGATGCAGGGAGGCAGCCAGTGATGAAGTCCCAATTCCAGATGAGGAAGGGACATCAGAGATCAGGGAATTTAACTACCTAAATGGACTTATGGGGAAACTGAGCTTGTGGAGAAGAAAGGAATTGCCCCAGGTCACACATGTAGGTTCCACGCGTCCCGTCACCCAAAGCCATGCTGTCCTCTCTTCTGCCTTGCTGCTTCCTCCCTCTCTAAGTCTTCCACCCAGACAATCACCTCTCATCCTTGCTCCTGAGACAGAATCACCTGCATAATAAGCACACTGCTTCATCTGTTTGCTGCCACAGCAGTGCCCCCACCCTTGGTCCCAACTCCAGCCTTTCTCAGGTGGGGTGGTCCCTCCATCTTTCTGACCAGAGCTTTCCTTGAGGAATGGGAGTGATTCTCCTCCAGCTGTGCCTCTTTCCTCTCTGAGAAAAGGTTAGAGACTCTCTGAGGCTCTGTTCCTCATCTGATATGCAGACAATCAGCTCCATGATATTACTGAGAATATTAAATGGATTGTTGGTATGAGGGTGGTTTGTGAATTCTTGAGTACTCTATAAAAGTATTAAGTTCCTAGACTTATCTAGGTTCTTTCCCAGCCGAATAGGACCCCACAAGCTAATTGGGACTAAATGAGTCCAATGCTATGGAATCTCAGGGGAGGGAGGTATAAGGAGGGCTGGAGAAATTGGGACATCTTCAATGAGGGGCAGGACTCTATGTTTCCGCGTGGAAAGTCTCTTGGAGCCACTCCCATTGACTAGGAATCTAGCCTTTAAAACCCCAGGAGCAGTAATGACAGAGGCAGAGGAGGACCAGCTTGCCCTAGTGTCCTCCCTCCCTTATCTGGAGATAAGATCTG